ATAAAAGCCACCATCATCTCTCATTTGAATTACTTTCTGAATCTTTTGCTTAAACTATTAACCATTTTAAAGGGTATGAGCCAGAGGCATCTAGTACATTCGCAGTGTTGTGAAAGCATTATCTCCATTTAGTTCCAAAATACTTTCATCATCCCCAAAGGAGACCTCACACCCATTAACCAGTGACTCCCCCATTCCCACCCCTACCCCCACCCCGAGTCCCTGGCACCACTAATCTGCTTTTATTTCTCTACAGATTTGCCTACTCTGGAATTTCATGTGAATAGACTCATGCAATGTGTGACCTTTGCGTTTGGCTTTTTCATTCAGCATATTTTCCAGGTTGCTCCACGTTGTAGCATGGACCAGCAGTCCATTCCTTTTTATGGCTGAATAATATTCCATTGCATGGATGTACCGTACCTTGTTCATCTATACATAGACATTTGAGTTGTTCCCACCTTTTGGCTGTTGGCCACCATTACGAATGGTACTGCTGTGAATATTCATGAACAATTATTTGTTTGAGCATCAGTGTTCAATACTTTTATTTTTTAATTTTTTTAATTTTTAAAAATATTTTATTTATTTATTCATAAATATTTATTTATTTATTCATGACAGAGAGAGAGAGACAGAGACACAGGCAGAGGGAGAAGCAGGCTCCATGCAGGGAGCCTGACGTGGGACTCGATCCTGGGTCTCCAGGATCAGGCCCTGGGCTGAAGGCCACGCTAAACTGCTGCGCCACCCGGGCTGCCCAGTGTTCAATACTTTTAGGTAAATACCTAGGAGTGGAACTGCTGGGTGATATGGCAACTGTATGTTGAACTTTTTCAGGAACTGCCAATGTATTTTCCATAGGTTGCATCATTTTATTTCATTTGAATTATTTTATTTTATTTTTTTAAAGATTCATTTATTTATGAGAGATACACACACACACACACACACACAGAGAGAGAGAGAGAGAGAGAGAGAGAGAGAGAGAGAGAGAGAGAGGCAGAGACACAAGCAGAGGGAGAAGCAGGCTCCATGCAGGGAACCCCACATGGGACTCGATCCCGGGTCTCCAGGATCACGCCCTGGGCTGCAGGCAGCGCTAAACCGCTGTGCCACCAGGGCTGCCCTCATTTGAATTATTTTAATAACCTTCTCTCTTTTTTAAAAGAATATTTATTGATTTACTTGAGAGAGAGAGAGAGAGAGAGAGAGAGAGAGAGAGAGGAGGGGCAGAGGGGGAGAGAAACTGAAGCAGACTCCTGAGAGCAGAGCCAGACATGGGTTGAGGTGGAGTGACGTGGGGCTCAGTTTCACGGCCCCTGAGATCACGACCTGAGCCAAAACCAAAAGTCGGATGCGCAACTGCCTATGCCACCCAGGCATCCCTTAACAGCCTATTCTTAACACAACTGCCAGCATCACCACTTACAACATGAGTAAAATTGTATCTAGGCTGCCCTCCACTTCAGTGGGTCCCATCTCACTCAGAGCAAAACCCAGAGACCTCACAATGGCTTACAATACCCTACATGACTTGGCTTCTGGTTTCCCTTCAGGTGTCTTCTTCCATACTCCCACTCACTCAGTATTGGCCTCCTCTTTGATTTTTGTTTTTTAAGTAAATGCTAACCCCCAATATGGGGTTCAAACTCATGACCCCGAGATCAAGAGCCATATGCTCCTCCTTACTGTTCTTTAAATGCATCAGGGGGGGACACCTGGGTGGCTCAGTGGTTGAGCATCTACCTTTGGCTCAGGGCATGATCCTGGGGTCCTGGGATTGAGTTCTGCATTGGGCTCCCTGCGGGAAGCCTGCTTCTCCCTCTAGCTCTCTCTGTGTGTCTCTCATGGATAAATAAATAAAATCTTTTAAAAAATAAACGCATCAGGCAGGGGTGCCTGGGTGACTCAGTTTGTTAAGTGTCAGGCTTCAGCTCCAGTCATCATCTCAGGGTCCTGGGACCAAGCCCCAGCTGGGCTCCCTGCTGAGCAGGGAGCTTGCTTCTTCCTCTCCCTGCTTGTGCTCTCTCAAATAAACAAGAAAAATCTTTAAGAATAAATAAATAAATGCATCAGGCAGGCTCCCACCTCTGGGCTTTTGCGCTCATTGTTTGCTTTTCCTGGAATGTTCTACCTCTGTATCTGGAAAGCTGGTTTCTTCATTTTCTTCAGGTCTCTCTCCTAAGTCACCTCCTCTGAGGCACTGCTGACCACTCTGTTCTCTTTACTCTGCTTTGTTTTCTCCATGGCATTTACCACAAATCTGACAACATACATTTGTTTATTTATATTTAAATCTTTGTCTCCCTTCTACTAGGTATGGGTTTTTTCTCTTTATTCACTGATGTACCTACCCCCAGCACCCAGAAAAGTGCCTAGAGCATAGCAAGTGCTCAGTAAGTGCTTGATGAATGAAGGAATAAATTGAACTCCATTTATGGATGGAGAAAGCAAAGTTCAAGGAAGGGGCATGACTTATGGGAGTTTCCACGCTGGTGAGAGGATGCTTTGGGATTCCTTCCCCTAACTTCCTCATATGTCTTAGATTCTAATCCTGACCTCTTGGACTGCAAAGCCCGAGTTCCTAACTGGCCTGTTTTGTGAACTTTATATCTGGGCCTAAATGTTAGTCTTTTTAGCAACATCAATTTAGAAGTGAGAAAACTCATATCTAGAGAGGCCAGGGGACCCCACAACCAGTTGGTGGCAATGGCAGGACTGGCTCTTAAGCTTCAGGGCAGGATTCTTGGCATTAGCCTTTGGGATACAGTGGACACTCCAGTGCATGATGTTCAGGATGGGTTTATAATCAAGCTCATGCCAGCTTCAGGGCTCTGATTTTCAAAGATCCTTCAATGTGTTCCTAAGCTCTGCCATGTTCATAACATTGGCCAAAGGAAGATATTTAATTGCAATTGGTTAAGACTACTGTCTTTTTCCAGTTCTACTTCCCCCTGTTACACTTCTCTTTACTGTGGGTGGTGCTGCAGTAGCTTCGGGCATTTGAGGGATCTAGCTGGAGAGAAAGGTGAGTTGAGGATACATTTAGGTTGGGTTTCGTGGGATATGGTGATGTGGTTTAGAGCCGCTTTCAGATATACTTAAATTACCTAACCAGCAGTCCTGGTTTCAGAACAGCTTCCAAGAATGTTCCTATTGTCGGAGGTGCTAACTCACTAGCTAAAAGGCCCACAGTCTGTTGTGGCATGACTATATGCTTTAGTGGCCTGTGCAATGGAGGTGAGTCAGTAATTAAAAGGACTGAGCCAGGAGCACCTGGGTGGCTCAGTGGTTAAGTGTCTGCCTTTGGCTCAGGTTATGATCCTGGGGTCCTGGGATCTAGTCCTGCATTGGGTTCCCTACAGGGAGCCTACTTCTCCCTCTGCCTATGTCTCTGCCTCTCTCTCTCCGTCTCTCACGAATTAAACAACAACAAAAACAAAGCAAACATAAAAAACACTTAAAAGGACTGAGCCAGAAGCTACTCCATGAAAATATTTTCCAAAACATACCTAATGTAACTTAAACTTTGTGAAAGTTTTCACAGATTTCCATAAGGATTTTGATGACATCACCGATACCGATTTGTGAAGCTGAAACTTTTTCTAAATGATAACGACAAAAAAAAAAAAAAAAAAAAGAAGTTCCATCAAGCATACTGGAGGAAAGACAATTCACTTTTCTCCCTGCAGATTAGTATGAAATAAACATATGCAGCCAAAAAAGTAGGCGACTACCACAGAGGTGTGTCAGGCAGTAAATTAATGAAAACATTACGTTATCTTTTGGGATTTTGCAATGTTCGTGGTATTTGTCAGCTCTTTTAAAAATATGTAATTTGTTATTATTTCATATTCCAAATGTTCACGTTCATACCCAATTTTGTGTTAGTGCTTTCGTTTTTTTTTTTTTTGTTTTTTTTTTTACGATTTCATTTATTCATGAGAGACACAGAGAGAGAGAGGCAGAGATACAGGCAGAGGGAGAAGCAGTCTCCATGCAGGGAGCCCAATGTGGGACTCGATTCCGGGTCTCCAGGATCACGCTCTGTGCCAAAGGCAGGCGCTAAACCGCTGAGCCACCCAGGGATCCCCCTGTTTTTCTTTTCTTTTCTTTTTTTTCTTTTTCTGTGTTTCTCTTCTTAAGGAACGCTCCCCCCTTCCTTACTCCTCCACCAAATTCTATAAGCTCTATCAACCCTGTTGATGATTCATTGGCTCAAAATAGGAATACGTTTCCAGGCTGTGCGATCCCCGGGCAGTGGCTGTACCTCTCTGAGATTGTTTTCTTAATAGCCAAGTGGGGATCATAGCAGCCCCTACACCGCAGGGTTGTTGTTAAGTTAAAATAAGTCAGGGCCTGCAAAGGCGCTTCAGTACCTTCAGGAACGCACCCAGCAACGATAAATCTCAGCCCATCTTTACGCTGAGAACTTCCCTGCACCTTCCGGACCCACGGTGGCCGAGACCTTCCTGTGCGCATGCGCTCCGGACTCTCCTCCAGCCCGCTCCTCCGCGTGGGCGGGTCCTAGGCCTCTGCAGGGGGTGATGGGCGGGGTCAAGGGGCTACTTCCAGGATTTCCTCCCCCTCCGAGGGACAACCCCCTTTGTATGACTGGCAGCGGTCATTAGCCAGTAATGACTGGAGAAAGGACCGACGACCGGGCCCATGTAGGAATCTCTCGTCCGAGTGGGCCAATTGCAAGTCTTGGGGGGCGGGTCCTTCTCTGAGGCGGGACATGGAATGACGGGCGTCCATCTTGGCTAATCAGAAGTAGGCTGCGAGCCAGCCAGGGCCAGTCAGAAGCGAGAAGGCCGGATCCTGGGGCGGGGCTGGAGCTACGGCAGTTGAACCGCTCGCGAGGAGGGGTGCCTGTGGAGAAGGTGAGAGGCGGCCGGAGTGGCGGGTGCGCGGGCCGGGGTGGCTGTCCTGGGGGGGGGGGGGGTCGTCTGGGGGAGGGTGGGCTGCGGCGGGCAGCTGACCCGGCAGTGTAAGGAATCAGGAGAGGGTGACCTTTAACACGGATAGGCGCTCTGATGAGGGTTTGTGAGTAGGAGGGCAGTCCTGAGTCAGCGAGGGGGAGATGTTTTGTATTTCCCAGGAGGGTCTTTAATGGGGAAAGCATGTAAAGCAGGAGACAGCAGGCGGTAAAATACAGAAATTCCCCAGTAAGTAGAGCCCTGTGATTTAATGGGAGGTTTTAAGGCGAGGGGTTAGTATAGCGCGGCGTGGAGGAGCGGAGGTCCGTGAGAGGAGTTGCAAACATTGGTTTGGGTGGAGGGCAGGTTAGGGACAGCACCGACGGGGAGGATGAGCGAGGACTTCGCGAATGAAGGGGTGCCTGAGCGAGGTATGAAGGCATATGACACTCATAGCGTTTATGCATGGCGTACTATGTGCCAGGTTTTGTAGGAATTATTCTTAAACTTCCCAACAGCCGTCCGGGTGGTTAAGACTTTGGGCTCTGGAGTTGGGTTCCCTGAGTTGAAACGCTGGCCCTGCCACTGAACGTCATGGTAGCTTTGGGCAAATTCTTTGGCTCTCTGTGCCTCAGCTTTATCGTCCTTAGAACGAACTCATCTCCTCTCTCTGTGCTGCTCACCCGCTGTCCTCATGCAGTCTCTTGGCTTGCATGCTCTTTATATGACAATGCCTGTCTGCAGCCTGGATCTCTCCCCTGAACTCCAGACTCATGTGTCCAGTGGCTGACTCTTCTCTACTTGGAAATCCAACTGATATCCATGCTTTATTTTTTTTTAATTTTTATTTATTTATGATAGTTACACAGAGAGAGAGAGAGAGAGAGGCAGAGACACAGGCAGAGGGAGAAGCAGGCTCCATGCAGCGGGAGCCCGACGTGGGACTCGATCCTGGGTCTCCAGGATTGTGCCCTGGGCCAAAGGCAGGCGCCAAACTGCTGTGCCACCCAGGGATCCCGATATCCATGCTTTAAAAACTTGTCCCAAATCAAACTTGTAGTTTCCCCCTTTCAGCCTCCCAAAGCTGCTGATGACAGTTGCATTCTTCCAGGTACTCGGGACTAAAGCCTTCGAGTTGTCCTTGACTCTTCCTTTCCCTTGCCCATGTGCCATCTGCCAATCAGCAAATCTCATGGATCTATCTTTATTTCTCTCTTTTTTTTAATTTTTATTTATTTATGATAGTCACACACACACACACACAGAGAGAGAGAGAGAGAGAGAGAGAGAGGCAGAGACACAGGCAGAGGGAGAAGCAGGCTCCATGCACCGGGAGCCCGACGTGGGATTTGATCCCGGGTCTCCAGGACCGCGCCCTGGGCCAAAGGCCGGCGCTAAACCGCTGCGCCACCCAGGGATCCCCTATCTTTATTTCTTATTTATTTATTCATGGGAGGCAGAGACATGGGCATAGGGATTATGACCTGAGCCGAAGGCAGATGCTCAACCACTGAGCCACCCAGGTGCCCCTCATGGGTCTATCTTTAAAACACTTCCAGAATCCAGCCCAATTTCACTGACTCCCTTGCTACTCCTCTGATTCATGCTACCACTTGCTTTTACCTCTAGTCTCTTGCAGTGGCCTCCTCCCTGGGCTCCTTGCCTCTGCCCTGAATCCCACAGTTGGGGGTTCCTATTAAAAGAGAAGTCGGATCATGTTGCTCCCTGGTCCAGGCACTCCCATGACTCCCACCTCACACAGTACAAGTCCTTGCCAAACCCACAGTGACCTACCCGATCCAGCTTTCCCTCCACTTTGCCCTCAACTTGCACCATTCTTCCTTGTTTGCACTGCTTCAGCCACTCTGGCCTTCTCATTCCTCAGACATAGCAAATCCATTCCCACCTGGGGAAAGTCCTTGCTGCCCTCTGTCTGGATCACATTCCCTCCAGATGTCTACATGGCTTCTCCCTCACCTCCCTTACATCTCTGTTCAAATGTCAAACCACAGACAGACCCTTGCAGACCACCTAAGCTAAAATAGCTCCTGTTACTCCCTAGCCCCCTCATCACCTAGTTTTGTTTTTCTTCAGTAACAGCACTATATTAGTGTTTGTTTATACCTACTGGCTTCTTAGACTCCCACCCCCCCACTAGAGTGTTGGTTCTATAAGAATATAGAATTCAGAGCCTAGAAGTGCCCATAGAGGCTCAAAAAGTGGTACTTGTATTAAACCACCATCACCACCATTTCTGGGGTGTGGGAGGAGCACTCCTGGCGGTATAGGGCAGTGTTGTTGAACTGAGATAGTCTTGGAGTGGTGGGGTCAAGATGGAGTAATAAACTGGGCAGGTTGTGGTATCCAAGGGCAGAAGCTCTCAGATCTCAGTGCTCCGGGAGCTTGTAGGAAATGCAGAGTCCTGGGCCCACCCACAGGGGTTCTGCTTCTGTAGATCTGGGATCATGCCAAAGATCCTCCATTTTTATCAAGCACCAGTATTCATGCTGAAGGTCTGCACTCCTCACTTGAAGAAACAGACCAGCTCAGAGCTTGGACTGGAGCTCTCATCATTAAATTCCCCTTCTGTGTCTGGCCCTCTGCCAGGCAGTGCTGAGGACACTGGTGACTGAGACAGCTCCTCACCTAGCCCGGGAGTCAGGGAGGGCTTCCTGCAGGAATGGACATTGGAGCTGGGACCTGTTGACAAAGGAGTGAGCTAAGGGAAGAGGGCCTGTGCCTAGAACCCCGTTTCCTGGCATCTAGCATAAACTCACAAGTGGTCCCCGATCTGTGCCAGAATGCTGAAGATACAAGAATGATCAAAATGGCTCTGCCCTCTTGGGCTTCTGGTCTGTCGACTAATCGTCAGCTAGTTGCACAGATGGTAAACAGCTGACCGAGTGCCAGGCACTGTTTGAAGCTCCTTACATGTATTAATTTAATCCTCAAAAAAATAATTTAATCCTCACAATCATCCTATGTGAGATGGGAGCTTTTATTATCCTCACTTTACTGAAGGGAAAAGGCCCAGAGAGGGTAAGTGCCTTGCCCCGGGTCACATTGTTGGTAAGTGGTGGAGCAGGAACTAAACCCAGGAGTCCCTGTCCTGCAGTGTGTGTCATGTTTAAAGTATGAGGCCACACCTAAGGATTGATGCATGGAGGGAAAGGAGCAGAAAGTTATGGGAGAAAACAGAAGATGATTGGGGAAGGGTAGCTGGGTAATGGGTAGGGGGACCAATGTGACAGTTCCTCACTGTAGGATTTTAGGCAAACCTCAGTTTCATCCTCTCTAAAATCGGGGATGGTTACGGCATCTACCAGGGAACAGAAATAAGGACAAGTCACTGGTTGATATGTGTATATAGTCCTTATTTATCTAAGTAAAAAAGTGTTTGAGGGAGAATAGGGGCTGAGATTTGGATACCCCAGAGGGTGGTGGTGGGCTGCAGTGTGCACTATGGAGGGGTGGATTGTGGAGAGTCCTAAAAGGCTTTTGTGGTTACGTGTTTCAGGGAAACAGTGTGGAAGGCTTTGGTCTATATTTTGGGGGGGGGGGTGCAGGGTGAAGGGAGGGGAGTTCACTCACATGGCAGGAAGGTGAGCTTAGAATGGGGGCAAGGAGTCACTCAGGCCACGCCAGTGTGTGTATGTCGGGTGGGGGGTACACTGCATAGGAGAATGCAGCTAGGTCTTGGCTGGGCTGGAATATGTGGTGGTGGCACCTGGGCAGGGTGCTGCAAACAATGTGAAATAGCCATCAGGGTTGGGGGTTGACAGCGGTGGTGATTTACCCATGTCTCGAATGAGAGATGGTGATGTGGATTTGTTTTGGGGGAAGCCCAGCATGGAGGATTCTCGGCTCCCACCCTAGGGCGAGGGCTTTGAAATTCAAAATATCCAAGGAGCGCTCTTGGGAGGAGAAAGAGCCAGGGACCCAGATGTAACCCTGGAAAGGGAGAGGGGGCTCACCTTATTGAAAGATGAGACGGAAAAGGGCTGGAGTCCGAAAGCTGTGTGTGCTTGGGCGTATGTGCAATGTGCGTGCGTGTACGTGCGTGTGCGCTGAAGCCATGATGTCACGAGGCAGAGAAATGGGGTCAGATGTGTGGGCCAGAGTGGGGTGCTGGGGTGTGCACGCGGAGCGCACGCAGGGTTGAAGTGCTGACGTCACGGGTTGGCGAGGGCGGGGCCTTGAATGCAGGGTCAGGAAGCTGAGACGAAGAGGAGCTAGGAGAGTCTGGGGACTGGAACGAAACCAGCAACCAGGATGGGCCACTGGTCACAGAGCAAGGATGGAGGATGCAGGTAGAAGGACGCGGGGTGGGGGGGGAGGGAAGGGCTTGGGACCTGGGGAATCTCAGAATTGGAGGGGAGTAAAGGGGGTGTTCTGGAAAGCCTCTGCAGGGAAGAGAGGTGGAAAATGTAGGGAAGGGGTTTACATGGAATCTGGGAGGGAACAGACTCCAGGTGAAATATGGGGATAATGTGAGACAGGCTGAAAATGGGGTAGATCCCCATTTGGGCAAATATGCAGGCAGAATCCGGGAGGAATAATAGGAGGGAGCAAAATTCAGGTAAAATATGGAGGAAAGCCCAGGGGAACATGGGGGCTAGTGTACGGAGAAGGGGAATGTGGTCCCCTGTCCCCCCCCCCAATCTGGGGGAGATGAATGGCAGTAAGGGACTTGGGAAAGGGAGTAGAGAGCGCTGGTGTCGGGAATGTGGTAGAAGGGGTGAGGCTGGAATATGGAGGGAGGGAGGTTCTGCAGTGGGGAGGCGAGGAGAGTCCAGAATCTCTAGGCCCTCTGGGGAATGAGTAATGGGCTGTGGGATTTATTCAGTCAGCAGTTGCTGAACACTCACGACAGAAGGCGAGAAGAGGGGATGAGGGGAAGGGAGCGGGCGAAGTGTGTGGAGGTGTGGGAGGCAGGTGTGTAAGGGGACAATGGAAGTCGGGGAGAATATTCAGGGGCTTAGTATCTGGGGACTGAGGTGGAAGCTAGTGACGTCAGGGCGGTTGGATATAGAAAGGCCCTTTGATATGGTGAAGGGCTGCTATTCTCAGGATGCCAGTGGGGAGCTAATGTGGGGGAGTGGGGAAGGGGAAGAGCAGGGCTGGGTTGGTGCTGGAGATGGGGTGGGACGGGCCCCTTTATTCCTCTGTCTCCTCCCCAGAGTTGGGTACCACGAGTGGGGTGGTGAACTGGGCAGTGAAGCTCCTCAGGCGGTCTGCGGGTACCTCCAACGCCGTGGTAACCAGAACGGCGCGACTGTTGATTGGCTCGCGAGTCGGAGGGGCGGGGTCTAGGGCGGGGTCTAGGACGCCTGGTGGGGCGGGGCCCGCTCCCCCGGGGCCCCGCACTGAGGACCAGGGGATGCGGGATATGTTGAGCCGCATAGCTGTTTGCACACAGATCAGGGATTATTAACCTCACCCCCGAACCTCCAGAGAATGTGAGAGTGCCTAATTGTGAGAGTGTGGATTTTCAAGGGGAAAAGGTGTCTCAATTTCAAACATGCTTCCAAACACGAGAGACCCCTCCCCCAAATAAACTTAAGAGATTGGGTTGAGAGACAGGAACCTGCCAGGATGTCTGGGGCTTTGAGAGTTGTCCTTCAGCCTTGGAGAAAGGGGATATATGGATGGGCCTCAGGGTGGTATTCTGGGAGCTCCTGAAATTACTTGTAGAGGGTTATGGGCTTATTCATTTATCTGGGGAGGGGACCTAGAGTTTCAGGGCTCATCATTTTCTGGCTTCACAATATTATATTTTCTGATATCAGCCTTTATGAGGATTTCTTGGGGAAAGTGTGAGGAATAAAACATGTAGGGGAGAGGAGACCAGGCTTTGGAAGGGTCCCCATGATCTGGGTTAGAGCAGCCCTGGGTAGCTCTGTCTTTGGGGCAGCATAGGACTCTGCTGAGTCTCAGTTTCTCCATCTGTACACTGGGGAGAAAATGGGCTTGCCTTGTTTCTGTTGCCTTGAAGACACAACAACAAAGTAATAATAATAATGCCAGTATGTATATGGGTGCTTGCTGTGTGTCAGGCATTGCTCAATTTGTCCAAGGATTTTAATGTGATTAACTCATTTAATCTTTACACCAAGGAGATGAGCACTGTTATCCTCCTGTGGGCTTGTGAAAGCCTGCATGAGCATCCTCTGACCCGGTATATCTCATCCCTGTCCCTCCCTCATGTTCCCCTTACTGTTCTTAGAACAAACCAGGAATGTCCCACCTTAGAGCTCTTGCCTGGCTGTTCCCTTTGCCTCGACACTCTTCCGCCAGATATTCACCCTTCTTCTTACCCCCCTCCAGGCTGCTGCTCAAAGAGGCCTTCCCTAGCTACCTTAGCTAAAAGAGCAACACCTACCCACAATGTCTCCTTTTACTACTACTTCGCTTTTTTTTTTTTTTTTGACATTTTTATACCTCTAACTATTGCTGCCCTCTTGAGGGTAGGGGCATGATTTGGCTTATCATATCCCCAGCACCCAGGATTGCATGTGCTTTAAAGATAAGGAATCTTGCTCCAAGAGAGGTTAAATATATGCCCATATATATCCACATAGCTGGAACCCGATATGAACTCAAGCAGCCTGGGGCTCTCATTCCGAGCCACCCCCTAAATTCCAGGCTGAAGGCAGAGATCTGACCCTTTCTTCCACTTCATAGAGCTAACAGCGTGTGGTAGCCCTATTGGCTAAGAGAAGGTACTTAGACTAATTAATAAAATTGGTTATTAGTTCACTGGACATGATTTAAGTGTATCATTGATAATATATAGTGCCGTTGTTCTCTAAACTTGGACTACTTTCCCTAGATAGCCATATGACTTGCTCCCTGACTTCCTTCAGTTCTCTGCCCATAGGTTACCTCCTCAGAGAGACCTGCCCTGATCCTCTATTTAAAATTTGCCCTGCCTGACCTCAGTACTCTGTCCCCCTTTGTAGCTTGATTTTCCTCCACAAATGTTTGAATAATTAATATATAATGAACATAAGGATTAATAATAATCAGTATTAATCATGATTCTCTTGTCAGAAATCATATATTCTACTAGCCAGCGTGTGTTCGGCATGGACACAGTTCTAAATGCTTTTATGTGTATTGTCCAATTTAATCCTCATGAGAACTCTATGAGGTGGATGCCATTATTATACCCATTCTGCAGATGAGGAAATTGAGGCGCAGAGAGGGAGTCTCTTTTCTAAAGTGCCAAAGCTGGTAAATGGTGGAGGCAGCATATGAATTCTGGCCTTCCAGCTTTTGAGCCTGGGCTCTCAGCTCCTCTGGGTCTCTGTCTCATCCCTCTCTCCAGCAACACTGGCCATGGACCAGCCAGCTGGCCTGCAGGTGGACTACGTCTTCCGGGGTGTGGAGCATGCCGTGCGGGTGGTGGTGTCTGGGCAGGTGCTAGAGCTGGAGGTGGAAGACCGGATGACAGCTGATCAGTGGCGGGGCGAATTCGATGCCAGCTGTGAGTGTGCCAGCCTTGGGTGGGTTCACCTGTCCTTCCCCAGGATCACCTTCCTGAAGATGAGTCCAACCAGGAACCTGCCCATCTGCCTCTACCTAACCAGAGACTCTAAGGTGGGGAGGGTGGGGTGGAGGGCTCATCCCTCAGGCCAGAGGCACTGGAGTTGGGGAAAGTTGAAAAGCTTGGATGGCAGCTCTTGGGCTGGCAAACGGTGAGACTTTAGGAAGGATTTTTCTTTCTACCCAGTCATCGAAGATCTTACTCACAAGACAGGGAACTTCAAACAGTTCAACATCTTCTGTAACATGCTGGAGTCAGCTCTTACCCAGGTAGGGGCCAGGGCTGGGGGCCAGGGGAGGTTTCTGTTTTCTGGATCCCTGGAGGGGTTAGATGCCTACCTGATGTATGCAAGACCTTCCACCTTCTCTTTCCTTAAAGGGACAGGGCTATCTTTTTCTTTCCCAAATGTAAGTGGTTTATTCTGATCCTAAGGAGTTTAAGATTTTTCATTTATTTATTCATGAGAGATACAGAGAGAGAGAGAGGGAGAAGCAGACTCCATGCAGGAAGCCCGATGTGGTACTCGATCCCAGGACTTTGGGATCACACTCTGAGCCAAAGGCAGACAGACGCTCAACCCCTGAGCCACCCAGGCATCCCTTCCCCAAGTATTCTTTAACCTACTTTTAAAGGATTCAACAATATTTCACTAACATTTAATCACATCAGTGAATATAGGTATTCATTTGTGTAATTTTTACTGAGCATCTATACTGGTAGTAGACATTAGGATACAGCAGTGAGCAAAAGCAACAAAGTTCTTATCCTTATGACGCTGAATTCTAGTGGGAGAAACAGAAAATTAGAAAAATATATAATGGCAAGTAGTTAAAAGTATTAATAGGAAAAAAAGCAGGCTGGAAGTTAGAATGGCAGGAATGCTATTTAGACATCATTTTAAAACTTTGAACTACAGGGATCCCTGGGTGGCGCAGTGGTTTGGCGCCTGCCTTTGGCCCAGGGCGTGATTCTGGAGACCCCGGATCGAATCCCACGTCGGGCTCCCGGTGCATGGAGCCTGCTTCTCCCTCTGCCTGTGTCTCTGCCTCTCTCTCTCTCTCTCTGTGACTATCATAAAATAAATAAAAATTAAAAAAAAACTTTGAACTACATTATTTCTTTAATTGTAGATAAAATTTGCACTCATAATGACAGTGTTACAGTGCATGATTTAGAAAGTGACAGTCTCTTATAATCCCCTTTCTATCCCATACTTCAGACTGTTAATGTTTTGGTATGTGTAGGCAGTATAGCATGAACTCTGAAGTCAGATTCATCACTGCCACTTACTGGCCGGGAACCCTGGGCCAGTTACTTCCCTTCCATGCTTTAGTTTTCTTTTTTCCCCCTCTTTATTTCCTTTTCTTTTTCTTTTTTTTTTTCTCTTTTAGAGAGAGAGAGTGCATAAATGGGTGGAGGGGCACAGAGGGAGAGAATGAATCTTTTTAAATTTTTATTTATTTTATGATAGTCACACACAGAGAGAGAGAGAGAGAGAGAGGCAGAGACACAGGCAGAGGGAGAAGCAGGCTCCATGCACCGGGAGCCCGAAGTGGGATACGATCCCGGGTCTCCAGAATTGCGCCCTGGGCCAAAGGCAGGCGCCAAACCGCTGCGCCACCCAGGGATCCCGAGAGAATGAATCTTTTTTTTTTTTTTAATTTCTTTTTTTTTAAATTTATTTATTTATTTATGATAGTCACACACACACACACACAGAGAGAGAGAGAGAGAGAGAGAGAGAGAGAAAGGGAGGCAGAGGGAGAAGCAGGCTCCATGCACCAGGAGCCTGACGTGGGATTCGATCCCAGGTCTCCAGGATCGTGCCCTGGGCCAAAGGCAGGCGCCAAACCGCTGCGCCACCCAGAGATCCCCCCGAGAGAATGAATCTTAAGCAGGTTCTACACTCAGCATAGTCTAACTCAGAGCTTAGTCTCGAAACCCTGAGATCATAACTGGGGCCAAAACCAAGAGTCGGATGCTTAACTGACTGAGCCATCCAGGTGCATCATGCCTTAGTTTTCTTAACTGTAATGTGGGAATAATAATAGTCCCTATTTCAGTGTGGTGAAGATTAAGGTTCTGTGTAAAAAGCTTAGAATAGCACCTGGCTCATAAGTGCTTTACAGATATTGTCTGTTTTTATTATTGTCATCAACTTGTGAGTTTGTCATCCTTATTAGTGGCTGCATAGTATTCCATTATAGCCTTGTGGCATGATTTGTTTAACCCAGTGGTTCTCAAGTTTTTTGGTGTCACGACCTCTTTATGCTCTTAAAAATTATTGAGAACGTCAAAGAGCTTTTGTTTATGCAGGTTTTATTTAACAATATTTGTTTGCCCTGTTATATATTAACTAGGTGTTTTATAAATTAAAACTGAGAATGATGTAAACATATTTACAAATTAATAATAAATAATAAATTAGTTATATGTTAAATTACATTTTTATGAAAAATACATTTTCTTTTTTTTTTTTTAAGATTTTATTTATTTATTCATGAGAGACACAGAGAGAGAGAGGCAGAGACACAGGCAGAGGGAGAGGCAGGCTCTGCGGGGAGCCCGACATGGGACTTGATCCCGGGTCCCCAGGATCACACCCTGGGCTGAAGGCGGCGCTAAACCACTGAGCCAACTGGGCTGCCTTAAAAATACATTTTCAAAAAAAAAAAAAAACATTTTCTAAAACAAAATAAATTAGTAGGAAATATAGCATTGTTTTACATTTTTGCAAATCTCTTTAATGTCTTGCTTAATAAGAAACCACTAGATTCTTAGATGTGGTTCTGCATTCAGTCTGTTGTGCTATGTTTTGTTTGAAGTATATGTAGAAAAATCTCCCTCAGGGCACGTGGGTAGCTCATTCGGTTAAGTGTCTGCCTTTGGCTCAGGACATAATCCCTAGGGTCCTGGGATTGAGCCCTGTGTTGGGAGTCTGCTTCTCTCTCTGCCTGCTGCTTCCTCTGCTTGTGCTCTCTCTCTCTCTGTCAAATAAATAAATAAAAATTTAAAACAAAACAAAAAAAGAAAAATCTCCTTCACATAGATATGTAGTTGGAAAAGGGAGTCCTTTAATCCTTCTTTGCTAACATACTAAAAGTGGACAGGTGGTAATTTCTTAAAGGTTTGTTGTAGTGTGGAGCCCAAAAGCTATCGATGAACTTTTTGTCTTATGTTACATTAAAATCCTCTGATGTATCTTGAGCTTTCCTTGGATCTTTTACCCACTTTATGATATCATGCATTGGTCATGTGGATAATACGGTTCAGTGAGTTACACAGATCTTCTGAATGTTGATACATTTCATTATACAATATCAGGAAGTCACATTTGTTAATATCCTCCCTGATCTCACCAGGAAGTCTTTCAACATCGAGCAGCTTCTGAAGCACACAGTGGCAGATCCAAGTTTTCCAAAATTCTAATTTTTGCTGTGAAGTTTGAATTTTGTCATTGGCAACAAATACCGTTAGCTGTTTTTCTTGAAGTGACAGTCTGACTTTGTTCATTTTTGAGAAAATGCCTGCCAGACACCCAAGTCTGAATAACCAGAGTTTTGTCTGTCAGTCGTTCTTTCAAGTAAAAATAGCATTCCATGAAAGAGCGGCTAATTTAGCCCCAAACTCGATTACACAAGTTTCTTCCTGAGACAACTGTCGTACTTTGGTATGCCACAGAATGTGTGCTTCCCATCTTGTCACAGAGTAGTAAAAAGCCATGTACTCAAGAATGGAGATTGAATAAAATTAATAATTTCTATTGCTTCATTAAGGACGTTCTAGGTTGGATTTCCTGTGTTAGATTTGTTTCTTCTTCCTTCCTGGCCCGCCATTGAGACTGCATGGCAACAGAGAATACAGTGACTGCTAGTACATTTGACATCACTGGCTTGATTTGCACTAATAGGCACCATCAGTTTTACCCACCATTATTTTTCGTCCACCATGAGGGACACTAAGCTGTCCCTCATGGTGGAGCATTTAAGTTCTTTCCAGTTTCTTCCTCTGGTGTCCTTGTGCCAGCCTCAGGAGCCCAGCTAGCCCAAAGAATGGATGGGGCATGGCCTGGGCATCTGGGTTTTGTGCTCTGGGTATGGCCGTGTTGGGTCTGGTGGCATTTCCTTCCATCCTCCTCCAACAGAGCAGTGAGTCAGTCACCCTTGACCTGCTGACCTACACAGATCTGGAGTCCTTGCGAAATCGCAAGATGGGGGGCCGCCCAGGCCCCTTGGCCTCAAGATCAGCCCAGCTTAACTCCAAGCGCTACCTGATTCTCATCTACTCCGTGGAGTTTGACAGGTGGGGATAAGGGACTGGCTCCAGGCTTAGGCTGGAGGGCAGGTGGGAGGGGATGTGATTAGAACTCAGGAACCCCTGAGAGCAAGGGAGGGTATTGCCTTTGGAATCTTCAGTGTTGAGATTCTATCATTTACTATTGTGTTGGGCTATAAGTAGCAGAATAACTATTGCTAGTGCTTTAAACAGACAATAATTTATCACACAATAAGATGTCTAGGTAGGTGGCTACTACCCAGCAGTTTCTTTAGGGACTCAGGCTCCTTCTGTTTTGTTTTTTTTTTTTTTTTTTGTCATTGGTAATGTGTTGGCTTTTTGACCTCCATCCTTATCTCTTCCTGGTCACAAAATGGCTGCTGCCCCCCAGGCACTGCTTCTGTATCAAAGCAAGAGGAAGAGAACAGGGCCATACTAGCTAATTGCAACTACTGTTTTCTTTCTTTTTTAAAATTTTTAAATTTTTAAAATTTATTTTTTATTTTTATTCTTTTAAAATATTTTACCTATTTATTCATGAGAGAGAGAGAGAGAGAGAGAGGGGCACAGACACAGGCAGAGGGAGAAGCAGGCTCCATGCAGGGAGCCTGATGTGGGACTCAATTCTGGAACTCTAGGATCACGCCCTGAGCCAAAGGGAGATGCTCAACTGCTGAGCCACCCAGGCATCCCAACATCTACCACTTTCATCAGGAAAACAAAAGTGTTCTAGAAGATGGCCAACAGATTTCTGATAATATTTGGCCAGAAATGGTCTTATGGCCTTGCTCTAATATTTGGCCACAAGTGGGTCACATGCAGAGGATACTAGGATAATGAATAAGCTGGCTCTTTAGGCTGTATAGTGGGTGATGGCAAGTCAAAAGGGAGTTGGGAATGGCTTTTGGGTAGCCAGGGAATGGTGTCTGCCCCATTTGATAATAGCTCCTGGATTTTCTAGTGGGATGTTGTCTGTTCCCTATGCATAGCATCTGGTGGGGGAGTTAATCAAGGTACCCTACCTCTCCTCAGCCAAGAGGTGAGGCGGGTCAGGCCATTTAGAACCTACCCCTACAGAGTCTGAGTTAGGACTGTGCTTGGTGGCAAGTAACATGATCCCAGTGTTCACTCCACCAGCAGCATATGACAAGGAAGTTCGCCCAGACTGCACCAGGCCTGTCAATCCCAGCAGTTGCAAGATTGCTACATAATGGAGTCTGAGGGGTGGCAGGCTGCTGTGAGGGGTAGGGGAGCAGGGAAGGGGCTCGAAGCTGCATTCAGAACTTAAGACTCTGGTAATGTGAGGTTTTTGGAACTGGGTTTTTTCATACTTGAAGGCTCTCGGGGTCTGGTAGTTACCCTCGGGTGGCTTCTTGGCCTCTGAGCTGCCATGGTTCTGATCCTCCTCAGGATTCACTACCCGCTGCCCCTCCCGTACCAGGGCAAGCCAGACCCTGTGGTCCTGCAGAGCATCATTCGTTCACTGAAGGAAGAGCTGGGCCGCCTTCGAGGGCTGGATGGTCAGGATGTGCGGGACACCCGAGAGAGCGAGATCTGGCACCTGAGGGAGCAGTGAGTCTTGGGAAGGGAATGCGGCTGGGGCTGTGTGGGGGAGGCATCCAGGCAGGCATGCCATAGCCCCCTGCTCAGTGCTCCTGGGAGGCTGGTGGTCCCTCATGCACCAGGTATTTATTCTGTACCTGCCTTGTGCTGGGCAGTGCTGGGGACACAGTGATGACTGAGACACTCCTGGCCCTGCTCTCCTGGGACTCCCAGTCCAGTGGGGGAGATAGCTTTGTCCGAAGACAGTGATGATTCACAGCAGATGAGGCTTGGGAAGCCCAGAGGGGAGACTGGAGCCTGCCTGGTAGCCTGGAGGGGTGTTCTAGGCAAAGGGAGCACATGTGCAAAGACAGGGTGGGAGGTAGAGTTATATCCAGGGCCTCCTTTGTACTTCCTTTGGGAGGTAGAGTTATATCCAGGGCCTCCTTTGTACTGACCCCCTCCCTGCCTTTTACATCGTAGCCAGCCCAGGGGGCAGACAGATGTTGACCTGAGTCACCTGACATAACCTCCTGAGCTACCCAGGCACCCCCCCCATAATATTTTTAATAACAACAATAATAATTGTTACAGCAGCTTACATTTATTGAGCATTTCACTGTAAGCCAGGGATTCTGTTCAGTGCTTTATGACTTAATTCCTTTAATCCTTGCAAGGTGGGGCATTGCTGCTATCCCCATTGTGCAGAGGAGGAAAACAGTCCAAGAGAGGTTACAGAACTTGCCCCAGGTCACACAGTGAGTAATATGGCCAGGCTCAACCTTGAATCCAGGCAGCCAGCACCAAGCCCCCTTTGTTTCCTTTTGTTGGTGGCCGCTAGACCAGGACTGAGTGTTGGGGCTGACAGGGAGGAGTGGGAGCTGATGGAGCAGGAGAGCCTTGTAGGTCTTTCTGGAAGAGCCTGGCTGTGCATTGCTGGGAAGCAGGATAAGTTTTAGCCTCAGTTTATCCTCAGGATCTACCCCCTGGTCTCTCTGGTGTGTGTGGATGTATGCGTTTCCCAGACTGGCCACAGCGTGGCACCCTTTGCCCTTCAGAACCAACCAGAACCAGAGAGAGTGGCTTGAGATCCTATAGCTGGTCAGTGGCTTCTTTTTTTTTTTTAATTTATGATAGAGAGAGAGAGAGACAGAGACAGAGAGAGAGAGAGAGAGGCAGAGACACAGGCAGAGGGAGAAGCAGGCTCCATGCACCGGGAGCCCGATGCGGGACTCGATTCCGGGTCTCCAGGATCACGCCCTGGGCCAAAGGCAGGCGCCAAACCGCTGCGCCACCCAGGGATCCCTGGTCAGTGGCTTCTTATCTTCCTCCTCCCAACTTCCTCTTCCTAACTGGTGAGGAGTTTGGGCAGACTCCAAATTCATTCATTCATCCATCCATCATTTTTCTGGTTCATACTGTGTGCCAGGCACACTGCCCCGCCCTAGTTAATGCTTCTTGAGCTCTTACTCAGTGCCAGACACGGTCCAAGCACTCTTCATAGATTCTTACGACCTCATAGATAGGGATTATTATCATTATTGTCCCACTTTGCAGAGATGCGAAGGTCACCCAGCTTATGATAAGTGGAGTGGAGTCAGACACAATCAGTCTGCTCAGGTCCATCACAGCTGGACCAGACAGCTGGAGTGAGGATCCAGAAAGAAAACAGATAATCACACTGATATGTGCCAGCTGTAGGAAGGAAATGTACAGAGTCAAGAGAGCAGAGAGAGAGGGACATGGCCCAGCCTGGCTGGGGGTTGGGGATGTGACACTTGAAGGGTGAGAGAGAGCATTCCAGGAGGAGGGACTTGCATCTGCAAAGAGATGCTTGGCTGGAGCAGCACCAGAGAGGATGGTGGGAAGAGAGGAAGGCAAGGGGGATGTCAACCAGACGGAGCCAAATGGGAAGCTCCTTGGAGAATATAGAGGAGCCACAGATTTTAAGGAGCTTTTTATTAGGCAAAGTTCCAAGAACATATAAAAATAGACAATAGTATAATGCACATGTACTTGTGCCCCCAATTCAATGGGTATCTACATTTTACCCATCTTGTTTGATCTACACAGTCCTCTCTTCCTGAGAAGCAAATCCCAGACATCATATCTCCTCTGTAAATACTTCATTTTCTATCCATGCTTAATGTATTCCCCTTTCCCCTGTATTTCCTGTGAAGTAGCCTATAGGCTCATCGGATTTAGGATTCTGGCAAGACAGAATCCTTGGTGGTGCTGTGTGCTTGCCTGCTGTCAAGTGGTGTTGGGGCTGATGGGTTCAGATGTTGAGACCTGGATCCTTCTTATTAAGTTCACATCAGCCCAGCATCTCTTGGGACTTTTCCTTCCTTCCTTCCTTCCTTCCTTCCTTCCTTCCTTCCTTCCTTCCTTCCTTCCTTCCTTCCTTCATTTATTCATGATAGACACACACACACACACACACAGAGGCAGAGACACAGGCAGAGGAAGAAGCTGGGTTCCCATGCTGGGAACCCGAAACCGGACTTGATCCCGGGTCTCCAGGATCGTGCCTTGGGCCTGGAGACCCAGGATCGAATCCCACGTCAGGCTCCCGGTGCATGGAGCCTGCTTCTCCCTCTGCCTGTGTCTCTGCCTCTCTCTCTCTCTCTGTATGACTATCGTAAATAATAAATAAATAAATAAATAAATAAATAAATAAATAAATAAATAAATAAATAAAAAAGAGTATCCTTTCCCTACAGCTTAACCATTGTCACCTTTATCACAAATAATGTTTATATATCATCACAAATCAGGTGAGTTTCTGTGCTCTGTAGTACATTGGTTTGTCTATCCCTGTGCCAGCACCACACTGTTAAAATTATTGTAGCTTTATAATTTGGCTGATAGTGGGTAGAGCAAGTCTTCTGACTTTTGTTTTTACATTTTAAGAATTTTTTGGTTGTTTTTAGAAATTTGCATTTATTTATAAATTTTAGAATCAGGTTTTTCAATACAAAAACAAAACTTGGAATTTTTTTTAATAGGCTTGAGAGGGATGCCTGGGTGGCTCAGTGGTTGAGCCTCTGCTTTTGGCTTAGGGTGTGATCCTAGGGTCCCAGGATTGAGTCCTGCATTGGGCTCCCTGCAAGGAGCTTGCTTCTCCCTCTGCCTATGTCTCTTCCTCTCTCTCTGAATCTCTCATGAATAAATAAATCAAATCTTTTTTTTTTTTTTTTTTAATGGGGATGTGGGATGCCTGGGGGCTCAGTGGCTGAGTGTCTGCCTTCGGCCCAGGGCATGATCCTGGAGTCCTGGAATCCTGGAATCAAGTCCCACGTTGGGCTCCCTGCATGGAGCCTGCTTCTCTTTCTACCTGTGTCTCTGCCTCTTTCTCTGTGTATGTCTCTCATGAATAAATAAATAAAATCTTAAGAAAAAATAGGCTTGAGATTTTATTGTTTTTAAGTAATCTCTACACCTAACATGGAGCTTGAACTCACAACCCTGAGACCAGGAGTTGGATGCTCCACTGACTGAGCCAGCCAGGTGCCCCAAAACTTGTTGGGATTTTTATTGATATTGCATTGAATCTATAGAATAGCTTAGGGGAAGCTGAAATCTGTATAAATAGTGAATGTTCCAGTATATAAACAGTATACCTTTGCATTTATTTAGGTTTTATTTAATGTCTCAGTGATGTTATTCCATCATACTTTTGTTAGATTTTTTCCATCTTTGGATGATTTTGCTAATGGTTTCTTTAAATATAAATCATATTGAGGGGATCCCTGGGTGGCGCAGCGATTTAGCGCCTGCCTTTGGCCCAGGGCGCAATCGTGGAGACCCGGGATCGAATCCCACGTCGGGCTCCTGGTGCATGGAGCCTGCTTCTCCCTCTGCCTATGTCTCTGCCTCTCTCTCTCTCTCTCTCTGTGTGTGTGACTATCATAAATAAATAAAAATTAAAAAAAATCATATTGATGTTTATATAATTGTATTTATTTAATTTTTAAAAAGTATTTTATTATTTATTTGAGAGAGAGAGCAGGAGTGGGGAAAAGCAGCAGAGAGAGAGGGAGAAGCGGGCTTCTGGCTGAGCAGGGAGCCTAACATGGATCTGGATCCCAGGACCCTGAGATCTTGACCTGAGCTGAAGGCACTTAACCAACTGAGCCACTCAGGTGCCCCTACAGTTGTATTTATGTGTTGATTTTATATCCAATAACTTCAGTCAGTTTTCTTATTATTTCTTGTAATTTGTAGATTTCCTTTGATTTTCAATATTTATAATCATTTCATCTGCAAATGACTACTATTTTGTTAATTCTTTCTTAACCTTTATCTTTCATTTCTTTTTCTTGCCTTACTGCATTGGCTAGAATCGCCAGTACAGTGTTGAGAAGTAGTAATAGGTGTCCTTGAGCCCTTGTTTTAGATTGCCAAGGGTAATTTCAGTATTTTGCCAAAAATGTAGGCATGTGTATGTTTTTCAGATCCCTAATGACTTAAACTTGCAAGCACGATGACAACAGCTGAGTTAATACATAGTTGTAGTAGTTACTGATGTGTAGCTAGATAGACTTTTCATCGGGGTTGGTAAAGGGTCATGATCTAATTCTATATTTCTTTTTGCTTTTGTTAGCTGAAAGTTTTCAATAAAGAAAAGCATTCTCTCATCAACTATTTGGTTTCCCTGAGATACATTTCCTATGGGAAAGGCATGATTAATCTTGATTTTTTTCCTTTTATTTAACTTTTGTCAGAATAATGAGCTGGTTCCTTCAAATCCTCCATGGAGATCAATGAGTTTTGTTTTGTTTTTTACTATCATTATGAAGTAATAAATTTAAACTTAATGATGTTATGTTGGTTTCCTATGGTGCTGTGATAAATTACCACAAATTTGGTGGTTTAAAAAAACAGATATTTATTTGCTTACAGTTCTGGAAGCCAGAAATTTGAAATCACTTTCACTGGGCTGAGATTAAGGTGTTGGCTAGGCAGTGCTTACCCTGAGATACTCAAGCAGAGAATCTGTTTCTTGTCTCTTTCAACTTCTGGTAGATATCATCATTCCACATCATTCTATTCTCTGCCTCTGTGGTCACATTGTTTTCTCCTCTTCTGTGTCTAATCTTCCTCAACTTTTATTTATAAGGATATTTTGATTATATTTAGGGTCTACTCTGATAATCCAAGATACTCTCCTCATCTCAAGGCCCTTAATTTAATCAGATCTATAAAGTCTTTTCTGGGGCTATATAAGTAAAAAATTCACAGGTTTGAGGGATGTATTGGATATACAGATATATTTTGGAAAACCTGGATATATTTTGGGTGACTATGATTCAGTTTACCACCAATGTGTCTTAGTGTATTATTCATTGCAGATATTCTCTTTGATGCTCATATTACCTTCAGTCAGTCTGAACACCTGCATGTTGGCCTTCTGAAATGACCCCAGTAATCTTTGATGACTTCCTTGTTTTTTGACATGCCAAGATGTCTCAGACTCTCTTGTGTCTTTCCAGCCTCAGGTTTAGTACGAATAATTCTTCTAAGGAACCCTGGTTTCTTCTAGTGGGAAATTGTATTTAGAGACCACAATCTGGTCATTAGGGGTGCTCATTGCCATTGAGTTAACTTGCTTTTAGGCTTTTTTAAAAGTGAAAGAGCCTTTCTAAAGAGCCTTTCTAAAGAGAAAGTAGATATACTTTTGGAAAGAGAAGAATGATGTCTCTGCTATCTGACTTCTTTGATTTATGTCTTTCTCACTTTGAAAATCTTAGTTTCTAGTAATAGTAACATAATTACTTACTTTATCCAAATAAGAGTACTGAATGAAGTTTAAGGTTCCTTTTGTCCCTAAGCTATTACCTACTTACTAAAAGTGGTGTGTGTTTTTTTTTGCCACTTAACCTAATTCTCCAATATGACCACCAACTTTGATATACAGTTAGATCGCTTTGAGCCAGTTTCTTTTAAGTGTTGTAGGGGTTGATTTGTTAAAATTTATTTATGTAAAATACTTCCATAGTCCCAAAGTTAAAACTAAAAAAGAAGGTACATTTTGGAGGGGTCCAACTTGTATTCCTGTTGCCACCTGTTTCTCCTTCATAGGTAAACTATTTTTTAAAGTTGTGACTTATCCTTATATATTTTTGAAAATATGAACATAATATAATTTATAGTTCCTTTTTTTTTTAACACAGAGACACACTAAACATTGTTCTGCACTATTTTTAGACTTATATCCTGGCCATCACTTGGTGACAGAGTATAGAGCTCTTTCTCATTCCTTTTTATAGTTATGTGGTACTTAGGTGAGTGGATGCACCATAGAAATTCAACTTATTTTCTGGTTATGTCTGGTTATTTCCACTCTTTTGCTATTACAAACAGTGCTGCAACGAATAGCCTTGTGTATATATCTTTTTCCTCTAGTAAGGTTTTGAGCACAGTAGTGACTGATTGGATTTGTATTTTATTTAAATGTTTAGAAGACTATGTTAGAGAGAACATGAGAGAGTGCAAGCAGGGGAGGGAGAGGGACATACAGACTCCGTGCTGAGCGTGGAGCCCCATGGGGGGCTCCATCTTGGGTTCAGTCTCAGGACCCTGAGATCATGACCTAAACCAAAATCAAGAGTCTGAAGCCCAACCGACTGAACCAGCCTGGTGCCCTGTTGGATTTGCATTTTAGAAAGAGTCTTCTGGTGAATTAGAGGCAGTGACACCTGCTTGGGAGGCCTGGGGGTGGTGGTGGTGGTGGTGGTGGTGGTGTCTAAGGCCCAGGACCTTAGGGCTAGGCTTTCAGGGTACAGAGAAGGACAGATTAATGATTTATTTTGGAATTGGAATTCATAAGGCTCTTGTCCTTGGCACGGGATGGATGGGAGTGATGTGGCCGTGTTCCTCCTCACGTGGGGGCAGGTGGAGGAGGAGAGATGATGGGACCCAGGGGGTCAGCTGGAGTGGTGGGGCTGCATTCCTCGTTTCTGCAGCAGGTGAAATGGTTCGTGCCCACCTCCATGGAGAAGTAAGGATGATAGGATCCTGTGATCCCTCCCCCCCAACTCTGTTGTCTTCTTCCCTCTACCTTCTTCCCCCAGGGTTTCACGCCTGGCATCTGAGAAGCGAGAGCTGGAGGCTCAGCTGGGCCGAACACGAGAGGAGGCTCTGGCCGGGAGGGCGGCGCGCCAGGAGGCCGAGGCGCTGCGTGGGCTTGTCCGGGGCCTGGAGCTGGAGCTGCGGCAAGAGCGGGGCCTGGGACACCGCGGGATCGGCCGCGGCAGCCAGGACTGCCGGCGCCTGGCCAAGGAGGTGAGGGGGCGGGGAGGATGGCGGCAGTGAGCGGTGGGTCACGGACTCTGGCCGCAGCGTGGTCCTCAACGCCCCTGTTCGTTCCTGGCAGCTCGAGGAGGTGAAGGCTTCGGAGCGGAGCCTGCGCGCCCGGCTCAGGACGGTGAACAACGAGCTGGCCGTGTACAAGAGGGGGTGAGAGACGTGGCCTGGGGCGGGCGGGGTCTCGGAGCTGTGACCGGGCTGCTGCGGGGCGTGGGACCTGGTGGGAGGGGCTTGGGGCTGGGTGGGCGGGGCTGGGAGGAGGTGCAGAGTCTGGGAGGGAGGGCGGGCGGGGCCCCTGGCCTGTGGGCCGTGGAGAGTGGGCGGGGATGGACGGGTGGAAGGAATCAGATGGACTGAAGGGGGCCGAAAGTTGGGCAGAGCTGGCGGAGTCTGGAGAGATGAACTGGGCTTGAAGCATCAGTCGGGAGGCTGGGCCTGGAGATAAGGATCGCGGGGCGGTGGGGGGTGGGAGGAGAGGTGGGACCTGAGGATCTTGTGCGAAAGGGCGTGTCCCAGCTGGTGGGGATCTGGTTGATGGCCGCTGTTATTTATTGGGGTGGGTGACGGAATATTGGGAAGGATTTCTAGGGAGCTGTGGGAGACCTCAGGAAGAAGGGTCCGGTGAAGAGGGTTTGTTAGTATGTAAGGAAGTGACAGGTGCCTTTGGGGGCGTTCCATGTTGGGCGGAGCCCGGGGCAAGGTATCTGTGAAGGTCGTGGGCAAGGGCCGTGAATGTCAGAGACCGAGTGATCGGAGAAGAGGCTTGAGATAGAAGTTGAGATAGGAGCTGGCCGGCGGGAAACTGACGGGTCCTGTACTCCCAGGAGACGGACTTCGCCGGTGGTGCCGCCAGCGGCCCGGGAGGATCGGGCTTTGTCGTCGCGGGAGCGCTCCACATCGCGCGGGTCGCAGTGCCGCCCGCTCTTCTTCCCGGGAGAGCGGCCGGGGGGGCCGGGGTCGAGGCCGTCCTGCCCGCCCCTCGCCCTCGCCCACAGGTCTGTGCCGGCCCAGCTCTGCCCTGCCCTGCCCGTGGAGGGGGGTGGGGGATGGACTGGAGCTGTGGAGGTCAGATCCTGGGATCCCAGCGTCTTCTCTCCACACTCTCCCACCCCATCCTAGGTAGTCGCCTGCCACGTTTCGACCCCACAGCCTTTGTGAAAGCCAAGGAGAAGAAGCAGAAAGAGATCAAGATGAAGTTAGCGCCCATTTCCTCCTTACCTGACCATATCCCTGTCCCTTTACTCGGACCCCTGACCTGTGCTGTCATCCATCCCCGTGTCCTGTCTCCATCACCTGTCACTTGCTCTGCCTCTTACCTTCCCTTTGCCTGCTTTTCACCTGACCTCCGCTTACTCTCCTGACACGCCACCCCCACCCCCGTTCTGTATCTGCATGTGTCCTTACCTAGACTGTGACCTCAGCTGGGTTACTGCCCCTGGCTGTGACCATAGGGGCGCAGCGACGCCGTTCCTAGCATTAGTTGGGCGCACAGGTAGGCGTCTCCTCCGCTCCCCAGGCAGCAGCAGCAGCGGAACCGATTGGGCAGCGGAGGAAGCGGGGATGGGCCATCCATCTCCTGGTCTCGCCAGACTCGGCCGCCTGCTGCCGTGACCCGCCGAGGAGACGCGGCTAACCGCTCCCGAAACCGCAGCTCCTCGGGTAACAGGGCTGTAGCACGGGTCGGCAGGCTGGGCGCCACTGGCGAGGGCGGGAGGCTCACACTCTACTCCCCCCCTCTAGTGGACAGTTTCCGCAGTCGCTGCTCCTCCGCCAGCTCCTGCAGCGAGTTGGAGGATTTCTCTGAATCCCTTCCTAGAGGGTAAAACTTGGGCCCTGGGAAAGGACTGGTTCCAGATGGGTGTCAGGGAGGCCGGAAACAGTCTTTTGCAGGGAAACTGGGTGATGGAGGCTGGAGCCTTGAAATCGCCGGGGAGGGCAAGGTGGGAGGTGCCCAAGGCTCCAACCGCTGGACCTTGAATACTTTTTCCTATCAGCGGGACGACGTCGTGGGAAGCCCCCCAGCCCCACAACCTGGAGTGGGTCCAACACGGTGAGAGTCTTTTCCCCAGACCTTGGAGGAGGTAGGGGCAGCACGAAACCACCAGAAGCCCATGGTTTTCCATTCTGGGGGCATCAGGTTGCAGAGGTGTCGGAAATGTGTCTGGAGGCAGAATGTTTTGAGACTTTTGGATTGGAGGAGAGTGCGGGGTGGCATGGGGGTAGGCAGTGATACTGGCTGGCTAAGTGTACCAGCCCTGACCTCAGATTGCTGGGTCTTAAAACCTGGTCCTCCCTTCCTATCACCTGTGTGACTCGAGGTATCTGAACCTCAGTTTCTTAATCAGCTAAATGAGGATGGTAAGAGTATTCATCCCAGAGGGTTCCGGTGGAGATCCCAGGAGGTGATTGTGCATCTAGTAAGTGCCCAGTGGGTGTCAGCCCTTGTTCTTTGAGGTCCTCAGGTTCATAATCTCCAGTGATATTTTGGGGACAGGAATAGAGAGAGGGACCTAACGCCACCACTACCCCTCGCCTTCATGCCTCCCCCAGCAGCAAAAGTCCACCCCTCTGGAACGCGGCCGCCATCAGAGACGCCTGGCCAATTCGGGGGGCTGGGTCCCTATCAAAGGTGAGCTGGGGACTCCTCCTCCCCTGCCCCACAGCCTGAGGGCAGTGCATTGGGCCCTCCCGGCCCCTACACCCACACCTGCTCTCACAGAGTACAGCTCCGACCACCAGGCGGCAGATATGGCCGAAATAGACGCCCGCCTGAAGGCCTTGCAGGAATACATGAACCGACTGGACACACGGTCTTGACCTCCGCCAGGGACCCCCACCCCTCCATCCCCTACCCAACATCGCTGGATTAGGAGTGGGGGGCGGCGTGGCATGTCCTTCCAGCCCCGTGCAGGCTCCTCCCCTGCTGGTGCTCACCGGGTTTCAGGTGTGTGAAGCCCGATCCCTCCCTCTGCCCCATGCATTGCATGCTAGGAGGGAGGGTATGTGCATTTTGTAAATAAACGTGTTTGCCTTTGGGATCCTTCAGCAGATGACTGAAGGGTGAGGCTGGCCTTGGGGAGAAATGAGGATTGGGTAGTGGGTGTAATTGGGACCTGGTGTATTTCTGGACATGTCTGCGACTGGGAGGCATTTTGGGGTTCAGGGTCAGGCAAAGCTTCCATAGGATCTAAAGCAATGAAAGAGGGGCCATGAGGGGCAGTAGCGAGCAGCTCTAAGCAGAGATGTTGCATGGGCTCTCTCTGGCTGAGTGGTAGAGAAGGGGTGTCTTGGAGCATGGCCCATGCCCCACAGGACCCCAGGAGCTGCTGTCAGTGACATCTGGGCTGACCTGGTGCTGATTCCTGCGCTCTGACCTGAGACCTCTGGGTTCTGAGCTGTGATGTTCCTTCCAAGCTGGGATCTCTGGGGTCTTGGTTCAGGGTCGGGGCCTCTGGGTTATGAGCACCAGCGAGGACAGAGTGCTGGGCCCAGGGTGGATGGGGAGAGCTGGGGTCTTGTGGGAAGTAGAGAAGGAGAGGAGGCACGTGGAACACAGAAACACAGTTTGAGCTGCACCTTTATTGGAGGGGTGGTGGTGGAGGGGTTTCTGGGTGTGGAGGAGATAGGCAGGGTCTCAGTCGACGTAGTGTGGCCACGTCTGGATGATTTCATAGAGTCGGTCTCCTGGAGAGAGTGTCTGCTGCACATCCCGGTGTCCTCTGAGCTGGTATCTGGGGTTCAGTTTTCCCTGAGCCACACCACAAGCCAGCAGACTCTGGGCCGCCCTGAGGGCCCGGGGTGGGGGGGACCGCTCTGGGGAGGCAGAGGCAGGAGTTAGGCTGGAGCTTCCTTGAGGGGCAGAAGTAGTGTGGGGTAATGGTTCCAATTATGCATCCTGACCCACTTGGACCCAGAACAGGGTCTGTCTCAGTCCCTTAGCAGTGACTTAACCCTATCTGCTTCAGTTTCCCCATCTGTGAAAGGAGAGAATGATAGCACCTGCCCACCTGGCTGTGGGACAAGAAAATGAGTTATTCTATATAAAGCCCCCACAGAACAGTGCCTGGCATAGGTTAAACCCTCAGCAAGTGTCAGGGTCAGAGCTTATCCTCCTCCTTCTGCCCCCACACCTCTGGGTCCTACCCATGGTGGTGGCTATTTATCAAGCACTTCTTAAATGCCATGGACTGGCCAAAGACGTTTTATGCAGATTGACTAATCCTGGCCAAACCATGTGGGTGAAAAGAACTGGTCATTATCCAAAGGAGGTGAGGCTTGAAGAAGCCGACTCACTTGCCCAAGGTCACATAGCTTGTTGGTGGTGGAGCCTCCCAAGGACTACATACCATGGGATGCTGGACCCCAGGTCGGCCCTCCATCCCAACAGCTGGACACTTACCCATATAGTTACCCATGAAGGAGATGCCAATGGAGATGGGGTTCCAGTTGACACCTGTGTGGTCACCCTTGGTGTCCCAGCCCCGGCCCTCATACACGAGCCCATCTTCTCCAATCAGGAAGCTGCATAGGGGGGTGGGAGGGTGGGCTTGATGAGTAAATGAAGGCGATCCTGGGGGAGGACTCCCCCCTCCACTCACCCTGCCCCTTGCTACTCACACACAATTTCTCCCAACACCTCCCTCTTATCCTGTCATCCGATGCCTCTGGCCCCTGCCATGTGCCAAGCACAGCTCCACATACATCTTTTTTTCACGCTCATGCTCACCTGTGAGTCAGTACTGCCCCTCCCCCCCATTCTGTAGGTGGAGAATCAGAGAGGTGGGGATATCTGCCCACAGTCACACAGCCAGACAGGGACAGAGCCCACATTTTCACCTGGGTCCCTGGGGACTCCCACCCACGTGATCCTGTTCCTTGCTTCCTCCAGCCTCCCAGGAGGATTTGTTGAGGTCTTGATTTGCTCGGTCCTCTCATGCAGTCCTCTGAGGCAGGTGCTGCCAAGCTCATGCCCCATAGACCCCTGCCTGTCAGAACTCTTTTCTCTAAGAAGCTCTTCTGCCCTGGGCCCAACCTGCTTCCTGCTTTCTCTTCCCTGCTGGGGTACACGGAGTGACAGGATCTGGGACTCAAGGATTGGCATCACAACCAGATACAGACCCTGGAGTTCCAGCATCTGCCCCGTGGAGCATCTGCTATCCTGGCATCAGAGCCTTAAGGCTTATTTGACATGTCTTAATTGAGCAAGTCTGATTTGGAATGTTGGAATTAACTAGAAGATCTCTTCATGCTCACACAGTCACCCGGGATGTAAAGAATGTTGGAGCTTAAGAATCTGGGTTCTGAATCTCCCATGCAGGAAGCCAGACTCAGAATCTGGCTCTGAAGAGACTAGAAATTCCATAGTGATGCTGTGGGTACACCCACTCCCTGGGTACTGGGCTGTTTATGGCCCTGCTACAGACCTAGCACCTGGCACAGGCAGTTGGGACTCCTTGTGTATTTGTGAAATGGAAGCATCTAATTTAAACCTCCAGCACCAGGTGGGTAGAGTGAGGAACCCTTTTTATTAGTAAAGACACGGAGACTCAGAATGTGATGTGACAAGGAAGGGAGATCCAGAACGCTGGGATCAGACTCTAAATCCTAAAATCTAAGAAACAGACTTTCAGTTGGCTTTTCCATAAGGCAGTTTAAGCCAGAAGCTGGGGAGCCAAGCTTTGTCTTCACTACCTCATGGAAACACTTAAAATCAGAGCACCTGAGTCTCAGAGACAAAACTGGGAAGTTCGAGCCTTTGAACCGCAAAAGCTCGAGCCAGAAGAGCTGGGGATTCCCTCTGAGGCCTCTATAATTCCACTGAGGTCCTCCAATTCCCGGCCCTATTCGAAGCTGTCTCTAAGGATGGAACCTGGGAGCCTGGATTTCCAGCACGGTGACTGGTGCTTACCAAGGTCTGGGAACCTGTAGGTTCAGAGTTCACTCGCTGCGGAGGCCCTTGTGTGGGACCTGGGCCTGTTACCCAGGAAAGGGATATGGGGGGGTAGGGCCCCCAGACGCAGATCTAAGCAGTCCTTTGTTTCTGCCACCATCCACTTACAGTCTGTTCTGCCCTCGGTGGCCAGAGGGAGCTGCTCCCACCCAGCAGGCTCACATCCCTCCCATGGCTCCTGTTTTCTGACCCCGTGACCTCTAAGGTCCTGTGCCATCTGGCTCTGTGGAGCTGGTCCTGTTCATCCAGCTCCCAGCTCCCTCCAGCCACCCTGATCTCTGTCCTTGAGATGTGACCCTCTCACTTGGCCTCAGAGCCTTTACCCCTGCTGGACCTCCAGGTTACCTCTCTTCCCGCAGCCCTCCATCCATCCCATCTGAATTCATCTGGTTGCTTTTGCTTGTTTCCCACCTGTTCCTCCCTGTTGGTCTTTAAATCCCATTGGGCCAGATTCCTACAGCTCATGTGTCCCCCATCCCAGCACCGGGGCAGGGCCTGGCACACGGTAACTGCCTGAAGGCAAGAGGCCATGAACTTGGGGTTTCCCATTGCATGCTAGTCGGTGTCCTAAGTGCTTTGCATGTGTGTATTGGCTGATTTAGTGACCCAGTGGAGGGCCACAAGCTGACTCTGCAGAGGAGGGAAAGGAAACCAAAGTGAGGAGAGCAACAAGCAGAGCTGAGACTGGACCCTGCCCGGGTCCACTCCCCCCGCACCTGTACCCTTACTCCCCACCCCGCGCTTAACCAGCCTGCTTGTCTGCCTCCTAGCAGAGGCAGCAGACTTTATGAAGGGACTCCACTGTAGAGGACACTTTCGTGTTGGCAAAATCTGCACCTGCCTCTGGGGAGCAGAGCTTGGACTTAAGCCTTATCCCTTCCTGCTAGTACCTGTCTGCTGCCCGCACATGCGCAGTGCTGTGTGCCCGCGGTTGGGGGCAGGGGGCTGTCAGCCAGGTGGCTCTAGGGCCGCCTGGGCTCCCTGGAGCTGCACACCTTTCCTTAGACCTGCCACACCCCCACCCCCACCTTGGCTCCCTCAGCACTCACTTGTAGCCTACATCACACCAGTTGAGTGACTTCGTGTGGTAGCTGTGCACGTTCTGCACCTGCATCAGGCACAAGGCCGGGCTGTTGCAGTGGCTGCCAGCTGTGTGCGACACCACCACGTTGCGCACTGGCAGTTGTAGCTTCTCAGTGCATCTGGACACCGGGGCCCTCCACTCTCTCCGGGGAACGATGGGGCAGCAGCAGGAGTTTAAGGGGTCTTCTCCAGGCACTCCGAGTCCGAGTCCAAGAAGAGCGAGGAGAGCCCAGGTGAGCAGCACACCGGGGGTGGACATGGCAGGCGAGGCACGCAGGGATGGATAGGAGTTCGTGGCTGGCTGGGCCACCTTTATCCCCTGGGGCCTGGCATGGTAGGGGAGGGCCTTGCTTCACACCCCAGCAGGAAGGGCAGGTCACACTGAACTCCAGATTCCACTTCCTTCTCTAGCACGACCGCAACAGGATGCGGTGTGGTGAAGTGAGGAAGTGGGGAGCCTGCGGCAAACCCAGGGGCCTTTCTTCTAGCTGAGAGTCAGGGTGGGGAGGGGTGCACGGACCCGGCCACTAACCCTGTGGTTTCTGGAAGAGCAAGGGCCTGGCTCCCTGCCAGGCTTTGTCTCTCCTCTCAGTGGGGCTTTGGACAACTCACCAGGATCACTGCCGCCCCTCCATCTCTCTTCCTCCTGGAGGCACCAGGGTAACAAAGGCTCTTCTCTCTCTTTTTTTAATTGAAGGATAATTAACATACAATTGTATTTAGTTTCAGGTGTATAACAGTGATTTGACAGCTTTGTACATTAGTTAGTGCTCACCCTGTTAAGTGTGACCCCCATCTGTCACCAAACAATGCAATAGCAGTTCTGTTGACTACATTCCCCATGCTGTACTTCTCTGTGACTTGTTTTATAACTAGAAGTTTGTACCTCTTAATCCCCTTTATCTACTTCACCCACCTCTCCACCCCCACCACTTCCCCTCCTGCCAGTTTGGTCTCTGTATTTAAGAATCCAAAGCTCCCATTTTGAAAACACTTCTCCCAGGCCCAAGCCCACAGTCATGTAACCCCTGCAGCAAACTGAAGATGTTGAGTGGTGGGAAGCCCGTTTCACACTTGAGGACACTGGTGTGGGGAGAGGGGAAGTCTCCTTGGTGAGACAGGGGGACATAGGTGAGCCTGGTGGTCCACAGCCTGGATTCAGAGCCAGGCTGCCTGCATTTGAATTCTGGCCACATTCCAGTGTCTGATCTCCTGCAAGTGAGGTTTTGGTACCTCAGTTTTCTCTACCTACAAAACAGGGATAATAATGTAAAGTACCTGACTCATAAGGTTGACGTGAATTAAGGAATTATGTGGATTGATAAGGGTCGGGTCCTTACAAGATGTCTGGCCCATAATGTCACACAAGGGCCACTGGGACTCAAACTCAAATCTGTCCTTGGTAGCAAGCAACAGGTTTTGCACTGGGTGACACTGGCAGCTCCATTCTGCGCCGGAGGGACTCTCAGGTCCAGGGCCACTCAGTGGCTTGAGATCACCTGTTGGGGCAGAAGACTCTCCTGGGGCCTCTGCCCTGCCTAAGCCCTCTTCCCCATTCCTTCCTAGCAGCTGGTGAGTTGAGGGCAGACCCCTTCCTTTTCTCTAACTCCTTTTCTCCCACTTTAGTGGATTTAAAAAAAAAATACAAAAGTAATACATGCTAGCTGTAACAGGTTGGACTGATAAAAAATGCAAATCCCCTGTGCCCCAGTCCCCTCCAGCTCAAGCTCACTAATAACTTACTAAAAACAGTGTGGTATGTTTTCTTGTACTCTGTTGCCCGTGCTCTGGAGGTCATGCTCACATCTGTGATACAGAATAGCATAAATATTTATTAACCACTCTCTATGTCTATCATAAATAAATAAATAAATAAATAAATAAATAAGTCTTAAAAAAAATATTGCTATCTTGTTTTTACTTTTAGACCTTTACCTCGGCTGGATTTTATAATTGCAAATGGTGTAAGGTAGGGGTTTAATTTTGTTTCCAAATGGCTAAAGCCATTTGTCCTGGCACTGTTTATTAAATAGTTAGACCTGATTTTAAATTTAAGCCCTACCACTCATTAACTGGATGACCTTGGGCAATCAGGCAGCATTTGACATACTTGACCACTTCCCTCTTGAAATGTTCACTTCCCTCAGCTTCTGTGTTGTAAGACTGTCTTGATTTTCCTTCTGCTTCTCTAGACAGGCTTTTTCTTGCCTTTTTTAAAATTTATTTTATTTTATTTATTTATGATAGGCACACAGTGAGAGAGAGAGAGAGAGAGCGAGAGGCAGAGACATAGGCAGAGGGAGAAGCAGGCTCCATGCACCGGGAGCCCGACGTGGGATTCGATCCCGGGTCTCCAGGATCGCACCCCGGGCCAAAGACAGGCGCTAAACCGCTGCGCCACCCAGGGATCCCTATTTCTTGCCTTTTTAACTCATTTTTCTTCCTTCACCATCGTACTATACTTGTTCTGCTGGGTGATTTCATCCAGGTAATGGCTTCAGCTGCCGCTGAAATGCAGATGACTTCCTGATTTTTATGTCCGGCCTGGAGCTCTCAGATGAATTCTGGATCTGTGTATCCACCTACCTCCTTGATATCTCTACTTGGATGTCCCACAGGGACCTCAAATGCAAGGTTTCCAAAGTGGTTTATGATTTGTTCCTCTAAAATCAGCCCTCTTCCAGGAATTCCTGTCTAAAGGAACACTGTGATTGTCTTCCAGTTACAAAAGCCATGCATCAGAGCCTTGACCAACCTCTACTCTGTCCCCTCTTGTTTCTAGCCCCCAAAACAACACTCAGCACTTAGTACGTGCTCAATAAATACTGAACGATTGATTAATATCCAGTTCACAGGGCACTTGGGTGGCTCAGTTGTTGATCATCTGCCTTTGGCTCAGGTTGTGATCCTCTTTCTGTGTGTCTCACAAGAATAAAATAAAATCTTTAAAATAATAATAATAATAATAATAATAATAATAATATCCAGTTCACCCCCAAGTCATGTTGCTGTTATCTCCATATTTAGGGGATATGAATAAATTCCACTGCTCCTGTCTATGTCACTCTCCCCACCTTGGCCCAGTCACCATGTTCTTGCACCTGGATTTTGCTCCCACCTCTTCGGTGACTTCTTACCATGCGTGCACTTTGGCTCCTGTGAGGCCAAAGCTCAGATCTGCTCAGGTCACCCTCAAATGCAAGTCAGTTTTCTGTGGCTCCTCATGACTCTTAGGATGAATTCCAAGCACCTCAACATGGGCTGCCTTCAACCTAGCCTCACTTGGCTTACTCTTGAGACCTTCTTCCCGAATCATCTAGCTTCCCTGCCCTTCTTGCTGCCCTTGAAAATGCTTTAGCTACCTTGTCCTCAGGGGACTTTCTATGTAGTATGTCCAAGTTTTAAATAGAGGAATCTTCTTTAAAAAAAAAAAAGATTTTAGGGATCCCTGGGTGGCGCAGTGGTTTGGCGCCTGTCTTTGGCCCGGGGCGCGATCCTGGAGACCCCGGATCGAATCCCACGTCGGGCTCCTGGTGCGTGGAGCCTGCTTCTCCCTCTGCCTGTGTCTCTGCCTCTCTCTCTCTCTCTCTCTGTGACTGTCATAAAAAAAAAAAGACTTTATTTATTTATTCATGAGAGACACAGAGAGAGGCTGAGACCCAGGCAAAGGGAGAAGCAGGCTCCCTGCGGGGAGCCCGACATGGAACTCAATCCCAGGACCCCGGGATCATGCCCTGAGCCGAAGGCAGACACGCAACCACTGAGCCACCCAGGTGCCCCAAAATAGAGGAACTTGAAGAAATTCAGAAACTTTGTACCTTGCCTTTACGATTTCAAAACACTCAGCTCGCCTTTTGTAAAAAGACAGGAATATTTACACATTAGATTGCTCATCAGTACTAAGAATATCATCATTAACCAGGCGGTGTGAAGTCTTCCCTTGTTAGAATTTTTTTTATTCATTCTGTATCTTGTCAGCCTAAAATTGAGACATGCCCTGGTGAGCATTTACAAGAGCTTCAATTGGTAATTGTTATATTACCTTTAATCCTGAGACTATTACTACTGTATTTTATTAATAGGAAATTAGATCTACTCCCTGTATGTTTTAGGAAGTTGAATTTTTAAATATTTAATTCATCAACTGCCTTTTTTAGATCTCATTATAATTAATTCAGCCATTTTAAAAACTCCTCAGGTTCTCTTGAAGTTAACAAAAACACTGGTTTTCTTTGTTGTGTCAAAAATGAAAGAAGTCAAATGCTGATTATAGCGAAGACACGGTTAAAACACAATGCGGAATCATTTTTTCCCCCTTGACATTCTCAACCCTGGAATGCTCACCTCCCTCACTCCCCCCCTTCCTAATTGTCACTTACTCTTCCTCCCTGTGGCCTCCTCAGAGCTGACAAATTAGCTTATTTCCCCAAATTAATTTCTTTCCTTCCTATTTATCACTGTAGTTATTAACTAACCTGAGCAATTCTTTGATGAATTTCTCTCTTTCCTACTCTACAGTGAAGTCTATAAGTATTGTCCAAACCGATATACTTGAGGGAGCCATTGATAGTTTTGCCGGGTCAATAGGCATCCGTGGATTCTCCCAAATAATCCAGGATGTATCATCACCTCACTTAAAGATATCATTTGCCCCCCCCCCTTGAATACCACTATAGCCCCAATTCCTTGCACATAGTTGGTGATAGATACAGGGCAAGCTCCCATTCTAAGCCACCCTCAGTTTCTCCCCCTGTGAAATGTATTTAATGACAGTCCTGCCCTCATAGGGCTGTTGAAAGCACCAGTGCTGGATGGAGTCTATATCCTCATAAGCTAACAGCTGCTAAGCAGAAGACCATCTTCCCTCATCACAAAAACTTACCTTCACAAAGTCAACATAGAAGGATATGCACAAAACAAACCAAATGTCTGTGCACTTTCAAAGTGGATTTTTTTTTCCTACCAGAGACCATGGTTCACTCTGGACCATTGGGGGGCTGAGGGGTGGTTGGGGAGGAGGAGGAAGAGGACAGCTTTCTCCCACATTTGTTGAATCTGCCCCTCTTTCAGTAAAGTCAGGAAAGCCACGTGATTAATACCTTTTTGTTGTTCCTTTTTTTTTTTTAAAGATTTCATTTATTTATTCATGAAGGGGGTGGGGTGGGTGGGCAGAGACACAGGCAGAGGGAGAAACAGGTTCCATACTGGGAGCCCGAAGGACTCGATCCTGGGATTCCAGCATCACACCCTGGGCCGAATGCAGGCGCTGAACCACTGAGCCACCCAGGGATCCCCTGTTGTTCCTTTTTAAAAAGAGATTTATTTATTTATTTATTTGAGAGGAGGGGGAGAGGCCGAGGGAGAGTCCCACGTGGACTGTGTGCTCAGCACAGAGCCTGACCCGGGGCTCGATCCCTCGATCCCATGACTGTGAGATCATGACCTGAGATGAAACCAAGAGTTGGCTGGCTTAACCCGATGGAGCTGAGCCACCTGGGTGCCCTGCTGTTGTTTATCTTTTTGGGGGAATGGGACTGCTTTTCATTTGTCGGCCTCCATCCCCATCCAGACCTTCCTGTGGGTGTCTCCTCCCTTACCTGGGCTAACTTAGGCATCTCTGCTCACAACGTGCTCTCAGCGCCCCCATCCTGCTGCCCAGCTCCTTTTTAGTAACTCCCTTGGAATTCTGAGTTTTCAAGCACCTTGGAATTCTTCCAGGAACATGGAGGCTTCCAGAGAGGCCCCTGGCTCCCAACTTATAGCCCAGCCCTCTTCTTTTTAAAATCCTCTTCTCGGGATCCCTGGGTGGCGCAGCGGTTTGGCGCCTGCCTTTGGCCCAGGGCGCGATCCTGGAGACCCGGGATCGAATCCCACATCGGGCTCCCGGTGCATGGAGCCTGCTTCTCCCTCTGCCTGTGTCTCTGCCTCTCTCTCTCTCTCTGTGACTATCGTAAATAAATAAATAAATAAAAAACCTTTAAAAAAAATCCTCTTCTCCATCCCACCATGGGGGCCCCTGTTCATCCCACTTGCTTGCCAGCTCTAACCATGTCTCAGAGACAGAGGGAGCCCCTAGGGCTCAGAGCTGCACACCTGACCCCTCATACCACTGATTCAGGAAAGAGGCTCAGGCGAGTTTTGGAAGGCTACTAGTGGCTGCCTGTTCAGGGAATTGTAGGGTCTCCAGGCTCCATAGCATGTCCAGAAGCAGGGACACATCTTGCTCCTGGCGATTCTCTGACCTGAGAGACTCAGGCCTGTGTCTAAGGACAATATCGATGCTAACTAATTCCATTCCACAGTTCTTTACTGAGAACCTATGGGGGTTGGGGGGGCACCTACCTGTTGGCAGGTGCTGGGGATGCAGCGGTAAATAAAACAAATTCCTGTTCGCCCTTTCTAGTAGGGAAGACACACAGTAAACAAAGAAACTAATAGCTATTTAAAATAGCGCCAGGTGGAGATCCCTGGGTGGCTCAGCGGTTTAGCGCCTGCCTTTGGCCCAGGGCGCGATCCTGGAGTCCCGGAATCAAGTCCCACGTCGGGCTCCCTGCATGGAGCCTGCTTCTCCCTCCTCCTGTGTCTCTGCCTCTCTCTCTATCATGAATAAATAAATCTTAAAAAAAAAATAGCGCCAGCTATACTATAGCTTCGCGTGGTGGCGCGACTAGGGTTAGGCCTGGCGGGTAGGAGGCGCCCCAGGAGCATCACCAGCTCTGACCTTGGGTTTGATTTCGACCTCGGCCTTGGTTTCTGCGCGGCTTTGGGGAGCCTTCTCCGCAGTTCCCTCCTTCTACCGCCAGAGGGCGCGCCGTCCCCATCTGTCCTCACCCTTC